CTTGACAGTCGGGAGGATGGGGGTGAACCAGCCCCATCCATGGTTCTGTGCAGAGTAAAATTGTGGGACTGAGAGGATTACTCCCTGACATCCTGAGAACACCCAACTTTTACAGAACCATGAGACTAAAGTAGGCAAGATTTCTGAACAAAGCAGGGGTGTGAAGTAGATTGACGCAGGTGCTAGGCGCCCTCCTGCGTCCATGAGCCTGTTTCTGGCCAAAGCTCACAGAGAACACTGGAAACAAATGGCACAACTCACCCACCACGTCTGCTTCCCACTAACAAGCAAGAATCCCATGGGATGGGGTCTCCCAGGCTATGGGCAGAGGCCCCTGAGGGGTTCCCGCCATGCATGGTCCCCTGGAGAAGAGCCTGCAAGGTAGCACGCCCCTGCTCTGGCTTTCCCAGCCCCTAGGCTTTGCTGTCTTGCCCGCTCCAGGACACTGAGGCCTGCTGGAGAGAGGGGTAAACCCCACCTGGGGCAGGCCTCGGGGCAGCCTGGCCTCTGAGGCTTCTCATGTTAATTGATTCAGAGCCAGTCAAATGCAGCAGGTTCATCCTTGCTTCAGCTTCAGGTAGGCCTCTTTCTTTTCCTTTTTTTGCAAGAAATAAATTAGATCCCAGTTCGGGTGCGGATAGCTCACGCCTGTAGTCCCAGCACTTTGGGAGGCTGAGGTGGGTGGATCACTTGAGCTCAGGAGTTCGAGACCAGCCTGGCCAACATGGTGAAACCCCGTCTCCAATAAAAACACAAAACAATTAGCCGGGCGTAGTGGCGGGCACCTGTAGTCCCAGCTACTCAGGAGGCTGAGTCAGGAGAATCGCTTGAACCTGGAAGGCGGAGGTTGCAGTGAGACGAGATCGCGCGACTGCACTCCGGCCTGGGTGACAGAGCTAGACTCCCTCTCGAAAAAGAAATAGAGAAAAAGAAAAAAGAAATGTGATCTTTACCTACCTTATCCTACATTCCTACATCTCACGGTCCAACCCCAGAACAGCAGGGCTGACAGAGGAGGTGGCTCCCAGGCCCTGCCCTAGGTGGCCGGTGAAAGACAAGGGCCATCACTGCTCTGTAGCGAGTCAGCTTTCGGGGTTTAATGGCCAACACGGCCACAGGGACAAGGTCGTTTGAGTCCGACCCCCATACTCCTGCCTTGCTGTGCGGCTCCCAAATTAGCCATTCCCAGAAGCCGTGGCTCCCAGCCAAACCTGAAAGGAGGTCAAGTCTAGGTGGCTCCAGGATTCCCAGGGAAGGACTCAAGCGGGCCCAGCCCACACTCCAAGGCAGCAGCCAGGTGTGTGCACAGAGAGGCTCCAGCCGGGAGTTGCCTCCACTGCCCAGGGACAGCCTCTGTGGCCAGCCCGGGCTGGGCCTGGTGAAGCAGAAAATATGCTGGCCTGACCACCAAGCTCTTGCACTAGAGAAGCGCGGGCACCTGAGCCTCTTGCACGGGAAGTGGGGCACTGGGGACCTACCCAGGGTAGGAGGGTCACGCAGTGCCCAGCTGTGTACCTGGCCATTCTTCCACTGACCAGTGCTCCTGCGGGCTTCATCCCCTCCACGCCCCCTCACTCCATCCCTCCAACACACCAGGCTGGCTCCCGCCTCTCAGGCTCTGCATTGGCTGTTCTCTTGGCTGGAAAGTTCTTTCCTTTTTTTTTTTTTTTTTTTTTTTGAGACAGAGTCTCGCTCTGTCGCCCAGGCTGGAGTGCAGTGGCAAAATCTCCATTCACTGCAACTTCCACCTCCCAGTCCCAGGTTCAAGGGATTATCCTGCCTTAGCCTCCCGAGCAGCTGAAATGACAGGCCTGCACCACTACGCCTGGCTAATTTGTTTGTATTTTTAGTAGAGATGGGGCTTCACCATGTTGTCCAGGCTAGTCTTAAACTCCTACCTCAGGTAATCTGCCTGCTTCAGCCCCCCAAAATGTTGGGATTACAGGCGTGAGCCACTGCATCCAGCTGGAAGTTCTTTCCTTTAAATATCTACATGGCTCACCCCCTCACCACCTTCAAGTCGACACAGCGGTCACCTCTCAATGAGACTTATCCTGACCACCCTTTAAAATCTGGCAACCTCCAGCACTCCTATTCCCGTTTCTTGTGTATTTTTCTGTCAATTACTTATCACCATGCGACTTACTACACATTTTTCTTGTGTCTTTCCTCTTTGTTTCCTCTCTTTTAGAATTTAAGCTCCCCCGGGGCAAAAATGTCAGTCCGTTTGTTCACGGTTGCATCTCCAGGTGCCCAAAGTTCATTTAAATGATAAATTAATGTATAGAGGGAACTAATGAAAGCCTTCCCTGGGCTTAATTTTACCCGATACCAACCTGTTTCACCTTTAAGCCCATAGCCTTTTTGTACTTGATTACCAAAGGAATTTGGTCAATTTCTTCAATATTCCATAGTCTCATGGTCGTATCCTAAAACAAATAGCAAACCAGTGGTCACAAAACAGGCTGTGGTACATCCATACAAAGGAATATCATTCAACAATCAAAAGACATGGGCTGTCGAGGCACAAAAAGACAGAGGAGCCTTCAATGCACATTGTTAAGCCATAGAAGCCAACCTGAAGAGGCTACAGAGCATAATTCCAACCACATGACATTCTGGAAAAGGCAAAACTAAAGTAAATAGATCAGTGGTTGCCCAGGATTATGGGAAAGAGGAGGAGGGATGAATAGTAAAACTATTCTGTATGGCCAGGCGCGGTGGCTCATGCTTGTAATCCCAGCACTTTGAGAGGCCAAGGTGGGTGAAGTAGAAGTTCAAGACCAGCCTGACCAATAATGGTGAAACCCCATCTCTACTAAAAATACAAAAATAGCTGGGTATGGTGGCATACACCTGTAGTCCCAGCTACTTGGGAGGCCAAGACAGGAGAATTGCTTGAACCCAGGAGGCAGAGGTTGCAGTGAGACAAGATCGTGCCACTGCACTCAAGCCTGGGCGATAGAGCGAGACTCTGTCTCAAAAAAAAAAAAAAAAAAAAAACTATTCTGTGTGACACTGTATTGGTGAATATATGATATACATTTGGCAAAACCCGTAGAACTATACAACACAAAGCATGAAACGATGTAAACCATGGACTTTAGTTAATAAATAATAGTTTCCGAAAGGAATGCAGTCCTGTTGATACCTGGATTTTAGCCCAGTGAGAGCTTGTCAGACTTCTGTCTTACAGAACTGTAAGATATTAAATTTGTGTTGTTTAATGTTTAAACAGTACAGTCTGGTAACTTATATTATAGCAGCAATAAAAAAACGGATACACTGAGTATGTTACATTTCTTGATTCAGCAGTTGCAACTAAATGTCCTATGGGAAAACAAAGGGGACATTTTTGTAATAGATGTGTTGGCTTTTTTTTGGTAATAGATGTGTTGGCTTCAGGCTGAGTACAGCGGTCAGATCTTACCAGTAAGCATACTTCCTACAGTATAGCAAGTGATTTGCCAAATCGTGGCAACAAAAAATGTCCTCTTTGCTCTTAGCTACTTTAATTTGAAAGTTAGTTTCAAGCTGGGCATGGTGGCTCACACCTGTAATCCCAGCACTTTGAGAGGCAGATGCGGGAGGATGGCTTCAGCCCAAGAATTCAAGACCAGCCTGGGCAATATAGCGAGACCTTGTGTCTGCAGAATTTAAAAAAAAAAATTTTGTTAGGCCGGGCATGGTGGCTCACACCTGCAATCCCAGCACTTTGAGAGGCAGATGCGGGAGGATGGCTTCAGCCCAAGAATTCAAGACCAGCCTGGGCAATATAGCGAGACCTTGTGTCTGCAGAATAAAAAAAATTTTTTTTTTGTTAGGCTGGGCATGGTGGCTCACACCTGCAATCCCAGCACTTTTGGAGGCCAAGGCATGCGGATCACCTGAGGTCAGGAGTTTGAGACTAGCCTGGCCAACATGGCGAAACCCTGTCTTTACTAAAAATACAAAAATGAGCCAGGTGTGGTGCTGCATGCCCATAATCCCAGCTACTCAGGAGGCTGAGGCAAGAGAATCGCTTGAACCTGGGAGGCAGAGGTTGCAGTAAGCCGAGATTGCACCATTGCACTCCAGCCTGGGTGACAGAGCGAGACTCTGTCCTAAAAAAAAATAATAATAATAATTTTTTTAATTAGCTGGGTGTGGTGGTGCACACCTGTAGTCCCAGCTACTCGGAAGGCTGAAGCAAGAGGATTACCTGAGCCCAGGAGTTTGAAGCTGCAGTGAGCTATGATCGCGCCACTGCACTCCAGCCTGAGTGACATGGTGAGACCCTGTCTCTAAAAAAATTAAGTTGGAATTTTTAATCTTCTGGATTTCTATGAAGATTTTGATAAAACTGCAGAAAACCAAAGCATGTTGGTCCTCATCTAAATGCAAACTAGACTTTGCTCGTCTATCTCCATATTCAGCAGACAGTGCCGTTGTAAATTTTGGCAAATTCCATTCCTTCTGTAAATTTCTTACCGAAGCAAATGCAATGCCAAATGGCCTGCACACTTTGTACACAAAACTCCTAAAAAGGGAGTGTGGTTTTCTTACCTATAATGTTGGGTCTTTCATAATAAAAGTTTGGGGCCACTTTTCACCTTCCTCAATATGTACAGAAGCACTTAATGAGATTTTTTTTTTTCTTTCTATAAGACAAGGTTTTATTTTGTCACCCAGGCTGGAGTGCAGTGGTGTGCTCTCAGCTCACTACAACCTCCGCCTCCCAGGCTCCAGTGATTCTCCTGCCTTGGCCTCCTGACTAGCTGGGACTACAGGCACACACCGCTATATCCCACTAATTTTTTGTATTTTTAGTAGAGACGGGATTTTGGCATGTTACCCAGGCTGGTCTCAAACTCCTGGGCTCAGGCAGTCTGTCCACCTCAGCCTCCCAAATTGCTGGCATTACAGGCATGAAACAACATGCCCAGCCAAGATTTTCAATTAGCGAAATAGAGATATCTTCCTTAAACATGTGCCTACAAGATGGCTATTATCATTTCTGAGCATAGAAAAGATGTTAAAATGGGCCGGGCACAGTGGCTCATGCCTGTAATCCCAGCACATTGGGACGCCAAGGCGGGTGCATCACTTGAGGCCAGGAGTTTGAGATCAGCCTGGAGAACAAGGCCAAACCCCGTCTCCAATAAAAATACAAAAAATTAGCCAGGCATGGTGGCAGGCACCTGTAATCCCAGCTACTGGGGAGGCTAAGGAAGGAGGATTGCCTGAGCCTGGGAGACTGAGGCTGCAGTGAGCTGAGATTGTGCCACTGCACTCCAGTCTGGGCAACATAGCAAGACCCTGTCTCTTTAAAACATAAATAAATGGGCCAGACGCAGTGGCTCGCGCCTGTAATGCCAGCATTTTTGGGAGGCCGAGGTGGGTAGATCACCAGAGGACAGGAGTTCGAGACCAGCCTGACCAACATGGAGAAACCCCATCTCTACTAAAAATACAAAATCAGCCAGGTGTGGTGGCGCATGCCTGTGATCCCAGCTACTCAGGAGGCTGAGGCAGGAGAATCGCTTGAACCCAGGAGGCAGAGGTTGTGGTGAGCCAAGATTGCACCATTGCACTCCAGCCTGGGCAACAAGAGAGAAACTCCGTCTCTAAAATAAAATAAATAAATAAATAATGCACATTTTAGATAGATATAGCCTATACCATGAGTTTATGGTGCAAAGGACTTCACTGACAAATACCTGGTCTTTTAAAGCAAGCTTATAGATTTAGTGCATTGAACATTTTTGGAGTGCTGGGAAATAAAGCCTGCAAATCAAAGAACCTGTTGTTGCCAGTAAGTAAAATCTTTTTTTTTTTTTTTTGAGACTGGGTCTCACCCTGTCACCCAGGCTAGAGTGCCGTGACTTGATCTTGGCTCACTGCAACCTCCCCTTCCCTAGTTCAAGCGATTCTCCTGCCTCAGTCTCCCAAGTAGTTGGGACTACAG